CAAACTGCCCCGCAGGGCCGGTGTGAGGCCACTCATGCACAGGCAGCTGGAGCTCCCGGGCACAGCTCCTCACAGGCAGGTCCCCGGGCAGGCGCGAGGGCAGGGTCACCACCTCCAGCCTGGACACGAGCGAGTCCTCGCTGGGCTCCCTGGGGAGGACAAGGCCCTGAAGGGCTCATGCAGGCAGAGCAAGGGAGAGGCAAACGCTGGGTCACCTCCACCCCTCGCTGTGGCCTCCCCAGGACCTCCTCCTACCCCCTTCACTGGCCCCATACCCCTCACCACCAGTGGTTTCCTCCTTTCAATCCAAACCCCAATCCACGTCCCCCTGCCCCCCTTGTGATCCCTCTCCATCAACCCACTCACGACGCCAACGCCCCTGTCCCAGCCTAAGGCCCCATCCTTTCCTCTCCCCTACCAACCGCTGCCCAAACCCCGATCCCTGCCTCACGCCGACCCCGGCTCATCCCGCGACAGCCCCTGAACCACCCCAGCACCCCTTACCTCCCAACCCTCGGTGCCCAGCCCTCCCTCACGAGCCCCAGCCCTCAGCCCCGGGCCGCCCGCACAGTACCTGGCCTCCTGCAGGGCCCGCAGCGCGGTGACGGCGAAGCGGTCTGTGCCGAAGAACAGCACCCGCCATGGCGGCAGCGCCGCCTTCACCCCCTGCCGCCAGGCCCGCAGCAGCCGGCCCCGCATGGCGGCGCTTCCGGCGCACGGCGATGCCGCCAGCAAGAGCGCGGAGCCCGCCTCGGGGCGGGGCGGGACGGAACCGCCTCCCCTCGGGCTGAGGCGGCGGCGCCATCTTGGTGCGGGGCGGTGCTAGGGAGGAGGCAGCGCTTAAACCGGTCTCGCAGCCCGAATTGGGTTTCCAGCCCTGGCTTCTGCCTCTCCACAGCGTCAGCGCTGCCCGGGAGAGCGTTCCCCGCCGCGGTGGACCCGCAGCCTTGTCCCTGCTGACCGAGAATTGGCCGCTCCGCCTCAGCGCGGAGATAAGGGCAGGCGGGGGTGTTGACACCGCAGGCACTGAGCCTCCGCTGGCTCCCGCTCAAGCTCGTTTGTGTGTCCTCCTCTGGACGGCTTTGTTTTAACAGTGATTGTAACTTCAAGAATGTTTTCTTGTAAACTCAGAATAACCACTTAAAAGAACTGCCTTCTCCCATAAGTATAGAAGTATTTTATCACTCTAAGAACATTCTTCCCACCCATGGGAAGATGGGTTGTGTCGCTCTCCATTTCGTGTAAATTCCATGCACGAATGCCCTATGCATTTAAATCTCCCTGTATCCTATGGCCTTTGACAGTGGGAATTTGTAAAACATGGAATGTGAGAAATCTGGGAACAGTTTCAGGGAAAACATGGAAATTACTTGGAAACTGGATGGCAATTGAAGTCAGACTGATACAGGAGGGTAGATCTCAGGAAAGGGAGCTCTTGCCCTGTTCAGCAGCACTGTGCCATTCATTCCCTTTTGCATGTGTTTTGCTCATCATTAGGGATTTCTTCTCTCAGATACAGAAGGTGCCTCTGCTTCCAGTGGTAGAAAGAAAGGAGAAATGAGAAAGTGCTGTTACAGGGAACAAAAAATGAGTCAGGATATCCTAAATGAGGTGCCTGTTCTGCACCCTGAGAAGCAGAGGGTACGCTAGCAAAACCTGGGGTATTTCCTAACCCAGTATCAGGATGTAAAAATCAGTTGGTCCAGAAAACTTCATTCTCTATTACATGCAGAATGCCATGGAAATCCTCACTTTCATCATGTACAGGACACCGCTAAGTTCCAGACAGCACATCTTGAGGTGCATAGATGAAAGGGTATAGTCAAATATAAACAAGCGGGTAGCAAGGATGAAGGAATGGCTTCTGCTTGAGAAGAGGCTGAAGCAACCAGCACAGTTCATGTGCGGAAGCAGAGATGAGTGTCTTATCACAGATACTATGGAGCTGGTAAACAAGGAATAATTAGTCATTGCACAATCACCGAGTGCTTACAGGCACTTACGGGCATCAGGCCCCGAAAGAGAAAGCAGCGTTGCACACAGTGTGTGATTTCATAGAACCATGGAATAGTTAGGGTTGGAAAGGACCTTAAGATCATCCAGTTCCAACCCCCCTGCCATGGGCAGGGACACCTCACACTAAACCGTTTCAAACAAGGCTCTGTCCAACCTGGTCTTGAACACTGCCAGGGATGGAGCATTCACAACCTCCCTGGGCAACCCATTCCAGTGCCTCACCACCCTCACAGGAAAGAATTTCCTCCTTAGATCCAATCTAAACTTCCCCTGTTTAAGTTTTAACCCGTTACCCCTTGTCCTGTCACCACAGTCCCTAATGAAGAGTCCCTCCCCAGCATCCCTATAGGCCCCCTTCAGATACTGGAAGCTGCTATGAGGTCTCCACGCAGCCTTCTCTTCTCCAGGCTGAACAGCCCCAACTTTCTCAGCCTGTCTTCATACAGGAGGTGCTCCAGTCCCCTGATCATCCTCATGGCCCTTCTCTGGACTTGTTCCAGCAGTTCCTTGTCCTTTGTATGGTGAGAACCTAGTATCTCATTGAGGTGAGATATCTCAGATGCTGCAAAATACCCGTGGTTTCCCAAAGCAGACAGCGCAGTTGCTGGTTGAATTGGAAGGAGATGTCCTGTGTGGTGCTGGTGGATACCAGCTCGCTGAGGTCTTGGGTGGAACCAGCACATCAGAAAGGCCAGGGATGTATCATGCATGTTTGTATGGCCCAAATGCCATCCAAAAGCGGGGAATTTGAACCCGGCATCCAGCTGCTGCTCACTGGCAATTTCCAGGTATCAGATCCTGGCCTGGGAGGCATTGAATGTGTCAGTGGCACATGGACACCAGGTGTGGAGCTTCTGCTGCTCACCAGGGGACTGAAGCCCTGGAGAAGGATTCCCAGTTCTGGCAGGATTAAAGCTCCTGGAAATACTGAAACTCTGTGCTGAGTTTTTGCCAAACTTACACATGAAATAATTAATGTTGCATGTATGAAGTGGACTTAAATTCACTCCAGTATATTTGCTCCCAAGTAATCAATGCTCTGATGTGACTGTTCAAACAGATGACAGCTATTATTTAGTATTGTGCCTTGGACACATGAATTTTTGCCTGAAGCTTTATTTCAGTGTAATTTTTTTCAGCAGAATGAAAGCAACAATCTGATTCACAAAAGAAAAACATAAAGCTCACAAATCTTGCTTCCCTGCTGCGTTTGAACTCTGCTTTTGTACATGGAGACAAAAAAAATCCCCACAACCCTCATGTTTAGTTATTCTGTAACCAGGCATTTCAGGTCAAAGACACAGAAGGGATCAAAAGAGATAAGCAAAACTAAAATGCCAAGGTCAGAGACGTGCTTCCTAAGTGTAGTGAAGGCAAATCCAAGGAGGAAGTGGAACACCAATCAACGTCCTATCTCCACTTTGCTTCCTAGCCAAAGACACTGAAAGCGTCTCCAAGAAGTAAAAAGATCTCTCCCATGAAAGAGTGCCAGAGTTGTCAGGGGAAATAACGAAATAAAACACTCACAGCCTTACTGAAGAGATTGTCCTGAGTGTGTTTGTGCTCCTCTGGAGAAGGAAAGCATTACTGGGTGCAAGGCACAACTGTAGTCAGTGGGAAACTGGGTTTATTTAGTGGTTTCCCACACGGACCCCTCTTCTGCAAACAGCCCAAAGGCAGGACAGGACCCAAAAAGGCACTGCGGAGCTGGAAGGTGCCTGATGTCCCAGGGGCTGCAAGCACTCTGTCACCTCTGGTTAGGTTTCTCCACTTGGTTTCAGAGGCTTCAGTTTAGGGCAGTGTGGGTTACATCAACTCTATGCAACCCATACAGTTACATACATGTCCAGCTTCCACACAGCAGCTGGAGAAACTTCCCATTTTTCTTTTTTAAATATAGATACATAAGTCAAACCATGTAGGAAATTGGGATTGAAAAGGGACCTCTGGGGGCTTTGCAGTCACCCTCCTCTTACAGTCACCTCTTCACCAAGTGTAGCATCTCCATCCCTTTACTCAGAGAGTGCACTACAGGGGCCAGGCATTTTCTTTACACCCTTCTCAGAGGCAGTGAGCCAGAGGGTTTGGGTTTGTAGCTTGTGAGACCGTCACTGTACCCCATCCCTGGCACTTAGTCACAAGGACACTTAGAGAAGCATTCCCTGAAGTGATGGCACTTTTTAAATGATCCAACTTGAGGAGGAAGGACAGCCCGAGTTACAGCATGGTGTGATGTCCTGCCTTGACCTGCCTCCCCCAGCAGAGAGGAGCTCTTGTTTCCTGAAGGATGCATTTCTGGGTGTTAGCTCCCATCCCATCGCTGCCAGGCTGACACTGAACAGTAAAACATCTCTCTCTGGGGAGTGTGTGTGTCTGCTGAGTGAAATTTCACAGGAGCAGCCAGAGGAAGCTCTGAATTAGATGTGAGATGGGATTCAAAGGATTAATCACCCTGGAACATGGCTTCGGTGCCAAAGATGCTTTATTTCAAGCTGTAAAATACCAAGAACTTGACAAACATAAGGATACTGTGCCCATCTCTGATTAGCCTTAGCTAACCAGTGCTAGCTGTGTGCTCCGAGCCTGTCACTGAGAGATACCTAGCTTGCTCTGCAGTATGCAGCTCCAGCCATGGATCAAATAGTTCAGGGAGGAGGAGTCCTCCTTCCCCAGTGTGGCTGGCTCAAAAAGCCTTGTGACACTGTAAAGCCTTTCAGCAGGCTGTTGACTTAGCCAGCTGTTTCCAGTACCTGCAAAACAGGGATGGCAGAATGTCCAGTGGGTGCTTTGCTTGCAAAGTCAGTCACTCTTGTGAGATGGCTCTGAGAGCCTTAGAATGACCATTCACTAAAAGACAAAAAAGGGCTTTATCAGGACATGCTTCCTTTCCGCAACGAGGACAGAGCCAGGCAGAGTGAACGTTATCATTTATTTTAACCACAGGGTAACTTATTACTGAGTGTCATTCTACTCCGCATGCTCTCTTAATACTGATTAGGCCAATAGCTTGAGCAAATAAGCTGGAAGTTCCTATGGTTCATTCTTTGGGAAAGGTCATTCACCTCATGTAAATGGACCCACTAAAGAGGTGTGTTTTTTTTCCAGGGGCTGGAGTGAACCTCACCTGTTGGACTGGCCTTCAGACATGACTCAGGAGCAGAATGAATCACAGCTCGTAGTGTACCAAGAGTAGGAGGAAAGGCAACCTTGTCACCGTGGTGAGGCACTAAAGACTGCTTGGAGGAGACATCTTCAGACAGCAGGGCTTAAAGAAGAAATGTAGCTTCCTCTCTGCTGGAACAGCGTGTTTCTGGTGAGTTAGCAGAGATGAACGGACATTCCTGCTGCTGGGTTAATTTACAGCTATCTGTAAAGAAAGGCTTCTTTATTTCAGTTAGAAATCTGTGCACATTTTAAGCAAAGGCTGTATAACTTGTTTAAAGAGAGACTGAATGGCAAGTGAGAAGCAGCCTGGAAAGCAGTCAGATGAAAATATTTCCTATAACTCAGGTTTGCTCTTTAACTTTTGACTTTACAAAGGTTAAAAGTTAGTGCAGATTGCCTTCTTGCTCTGGTATTTTAAATATTAAACATTTCTCTTGTGTTCTTTAATTAAACTCAGTTCTGAATATGCCTTTATAAACCAACCCATCCATTTGTATCTCCATGGTGTGCCATTGTATATCCTTTATGAATCCCAAAGGCAGGTCATCCCACTTTTATAATGACTTTGGAATAACTGATGCATTTTAACACAATCAGTATAAGATAAGATAGCCTCCAGAAAAAGAGTCTGGATGAGAAGAGGAGACTATTTTACAAGGACTGGGGTGTTGTAAGTGCATTGTCCCTTATTGCGTAGTGAGTATTGAGTAGGGAGTCCAGAGGCACATTGTCATCTTAACAGGAGACATTTTTCCTCCATCTTTACTCATATCAATATAATAAGTATCCCAAGACTTCTCATTTGTAGAGTGAGGACAACATCTGGCTTGGTAAGAACCATGAGTATTAGACCTGATAAAAACCAATATACAATGCACATGGTAGTTTCACAGCACCATGTAATGTGCTCTGGCTGGAAGGAATCCACGTGCAACTGGTGACGTGTGTTATGCCAGCCTTTAGAGCACGATTTAAGTGCTGGGATCAATATGTAGAGCAAAAAGCAGCCACTTGCTATTTTAATGTATTTTCTTGAGATTCTGTTGGATGCCACCAAAGTCCACAGATCCTGGTTTTGAACAGCTGGTGTTTGCGAGTGACTCTGTTCCTGAAGTACACAGAGCACGCAGATTCTGTGGCTTTTGATGTGAAAATCCCATGTGCAAAAAGAAAGAAATTACAAAATTGCTCAGGTGTAAATATAAACTCAACACAGGAAAAGTGTTTCTTTGAGAGGTGCTGGGTCTTAATTCTATCTACTTCCTTCCATAAAGGCATAAAATGTACGAGTTTTCTCTCATTTGTGCTTCCTGTGATGTACCCAAGCTGGGAAGCAACCTCAGAAGGGTCTTAGGTGTCTTCAGAGATCTAGAAGACCAAAGTCTGCAGCTTAGAGTTGTCAAAGAGCTGGATCTAGGTGCTCATCCCTGTCCAACAGCAGCCAGAGTGACTGCTGATGTGTGGGCAGGGAAGCAATGGAGAAGACATCACCCACAGTCTCTCAGCTTGTTTGGTGGAGCAGTGGTCTCCCGCACCAGAATGTGGGCAGTGGGGCAGAGCCACTGTGTGGTGGAAGCTGGAGGGGATGGCCTTAAAAAACTCTATTTCAGGCTGAAAGATCTAAAATCTGTTGGGACTTGCTCTTTCCGTACTGGGGAACCTGGAGGTGCAGGCAGAATTCTGGATCCTGCTCAGGCTCTCCACTGGGGTAGATACATTGGCCTAAGAACACTTTGCTTTATAGCTTTGATGAATGAAACTTCCAAACTAATTTGGTCATTTTTATGCAGATGTTTAAGATCTTTAAAATAACGGGGGGGGTGTCCCTTAAAGTCTTTTACCTAAATTTCCTGTTAAGACACAACAAATATCCGTTCTGCTACTATGTTGTACCTGAGAAGCTCCATTCTGTGGAGATCTGTCGGTCACTACTTTATGAAGTAGAGAAGTACCTCTAGCAGCTGTGTAGCATCCCTGCTGTGCGTGCCAGCTTTAGTGTAGACACCAGGAGGTGGCCCGCAAGTTATGAAACACCTTAGGAGAAAATCAGCAACATGCATGTCAAATATTCCTGTTGGAGCAAATGGTTAGACAGGAGCTTTGCACAGCAAGATTTAGCACATTCGAGTGGCACCTTCTTATTAGGGTGTAGTAGACTTGTAACTTGATTTCATTGGCACCATAACTTTATTTCCTCTTTTCTGAGGACTGAAAGGAGTGAATAAGCTAAAGGTTACTTGGACAGCAAGGTAACTGGCACAGCTAACTGCAGGGAGCAGCTTTACCTGTGTTTTTTGAAATACAAAGTGGACCATGTATTTGAGAGTCCTCAAATTGCTCACAGGTGGTTTTCTGGCAGCAGGGAGCAAGCCTGCATGCCTGTTTGGCTATAAAATGTGAACTTTGAATTGTGAAGACACTGGAAGGGGGGGGGGGGAAATAGTAGCAATCATTAGGTCTATAACCGACAGGACAAACGCCTCCCTGAGGAGTCAGCAGCAGTGTTGTTGACACGCCTGGCACAGTGGAACATGCTTGGGAGTGATTTGCAAGGAAGAGTTTCAGACAGTGCCATGCTATGAAGGCAGGTAAAAGTTGAGAGTATCAGTTGTAAAAGTCTCAGTCTTCATATAGTAATTAATGGTCTGTGAGGCCAGCACGTCTGAGGGGGACACGTGTGTTGTAGTGTCATTCACCTGTGTGTGGGTGATGGTTCAGGTGAGGCCAGTGAGCGGTGGTGGAGCACTGGGGAGAGTCAGCCAACCATCTCAGACTAACAGTGCACAGAGGAGAACCCTCTGCTCAGGTCAGGTCCCTCCAAAGGAAGCTGAAGTTGGGCAAGCTGCCATAAAAGCTAGATTGATGCCACTGACAAATGAGGGACTAAAGGTCAGGGAGGAGCTTTCTGCTTCTCTGAGGGATGTGAGATACCTTTGCCTCAATGGCATGCTGGCTTTTCCTCCTCTTGGAGCTGAGCCCACCAATTCCTCCTCTCCACACCCTTATTTTGCCATCCCTGGATTGGCAGCAGGTAGTCACTGTCCATGAAGTGTATTCTCTAAGGATTGTGGCAGGGAAGCAAGGAGAGAAAAGGGAGGTTAGTTGGGGAGGGGCTGGCTTACAGCAGCTGAGCTCACATCTGCGCAGTGTCAGCTAGGCAAGGGGCCAAACCACAGGCAGCAGACCCACTCTGCTGTCACCTCAGGGGCTCCCAGGATGTCTGCACCCTGTCCTGGCAGCTCAGACTCACATTCACAGGAGAAAGCAGATGCCACAGCTGCAGGGGTACATCAGGTCTGAATACAGAGCTGGAGCAAAGAGGGGAATCAGCATGAGCACAGTCATTTAAAAGATCATCTCTACTTGTGATTTAGTCTCCTTTCATCTGTTGTAGACGTTAGAGGAGAAACACACTGGCCTGCTGTCTGCAGTACCTCTGAGTAATAATCTGTGTAACTTTCAGGGCTCCCACTAATAAAACCAGTGGCACTGTATGGTGGGAGCTAGCAGAGGTTACCTTACCCCTCACCTCTCATCCCTTTTTCTTTTCCAGAGATCTGCTCACTGAAGAAACACTGGTGAAGGCATGATCCACCCCAGCACACATACAAATATGAAGCTTTTCTGGATAATCCCATTTTTCCTGCTGCAAGGTAGAGTCTTACCTTGGTGGATAATGGTGTGGGTGAAGCAGGGCACACATGCTGAACTGTAATGCAGAACTTTCTCCACTTCTCAGTGCATGAGATAAGGTTGTGCCCTCCTGGCTGTGTTCTGCCTGCTTGGAGAGATGCACTGGGCAGCCCTGGGAGCCAAGGGAAGGCCATTTCCAGCCTGAAGTACTGCAGCATACAGCCATTGCATCTTTCTGCTCTTTTCCTCTACAGCCAATGCAGAGCAGGACATGGATGTCCCCACAGCCCTTGCCAGCACAGGCGTGTATGATCACACAGCAGATGTAACCCTTGTGCTCGGTATAGGCCAAGAGGAGCTGGAGGAGCTGCTCTGGTTCTTCCGCACAGAAGACTGTAAGTCCCATTGACATTCCTGAGTTGAGAGTTGAAATAGAGACAGACAGTCCTTGGCTGTTAACCCTTCTCCTAATGGAGATGCCAAAGGGAATTACCTGAGGATATGATTTACCCCAGGTATATAAACCCTCAGTCTCACCTCCAGAAGAAGCATGGGTAAAGACAGGTATGAGGCTTTGCTGAGATAGTGTCTCCTCCCAGAGTGAGGTTCAGCCTCTTTCCAGGTACAGCTTGCTAAGAGGGCAAAGGTCTGGGATGACCAGTGATTTTGGCAGGGTAGAGGGAGCAGGTTGATATGAGCAGGTCAGTGCCATGAGGATCAACTTCAAAGCCACAAAAATCAAGGGCAGGGCATCTGCTGCCATCAGGGCTGAACACCCCAGCCTATGCTCAAAGGCAAAATCTAGCCACCCAGGTGTGTAGCGGTGAGAAAACCTGCAGAGCAGAGGGGCCCTTCTAGCAGTGCTCTTGGTGGTCCACTGCAGCTTCCAGCCTAGCTCCCAGCCTGGGATATGGCTGAAGCCATGTGTGGCAGATGTGGCCAGCATGAGAGCTACAGAGCTGGAGGTGCGGGCTGTGAGTGGCACAAAGCAGTTGTGTAAACCCAGGGAGGGAGAGTTGCCTGAGGTTGTCCCCAACAACGTGACCCGGGTGCTCTGTTCTGGGTACTGAGTTTGACACAGGCTTCTCTGCCCTCATCCTGCAGCCAAGCCATGGCCCTCTGAGCTTGGCTATCCTTGGAAAAGGCCTGGCTGGGCTCCGTAGGTCACACTCCTCTGTGCATGCTAACGCTGCCTCTCTGCTTTTCCCCAGCATCAACATGGAATTACTCCGTCCTTGCACTTTCCTTTGTGGCCATGATTTTGGGTCTTGTCCTTCTGGCCCTTAATGTTACACGGAACAGGTGAGACAGGAAAATTTGGGTGTCTTTTGGTGTGTGGTGGAGTGCTGAACCCCCCCAGCAGACAGGGATTGGCAGAGCAGGGCAGGACAAGCCCTGAGTGATGGGGAGAAGAGCAAAGACAAACTCCCTTTGAACAGAGCTTCGTTGTAAAACCTTGCCTGACTCCCTGTTCTCCTTGTGTGTTGCTTGGAATGAGCCCCTTCTCCAGGCCACGGATCCTCAGCAGTAAAGTGCCTGTGACAGCTCTGCCCAGCCCAGCCAGGCTGCTGGGAGGGAAGGAAGGAACATTAAATGCATGGTGTGAGGTGCTCCCCATTTGACGGGCTCTGGAGCAGGACTCTCCAGCCTTGCCATCTGCATTCCCATAATGTACCCCTGGGCTGTACTGCTGTGCAACAGTCCCGCAGCTGAGGAGCAACTCGCTGTTTTCTACAGCAAGAGAACTTACCTCTGAGTCAGCTTCCATTTCCAATGAGAGACAAAGAACTGATGTCCCAAGTCTGCCACGCTTGTTCAATGATGGTTTACTGGCTGTTGCTGCCTCACCGTGGTGTGCTGTGTGTTCTCCAAGTGTAAACCCACAACTCAAACACCACAGACCTCTTAACACAGTGCAGCTGGTTTTCCCACAAGCAGCTGCTGTGTTCCCAAAGCCAAGGTGTGAAGAGCTTGATGGAACCATCTCTGCAGGTAGATATTTACCTCAGATGTCTGCTGGGCTTGTTGCTTCACTCCATGGTTCCTTTCTATCCCTTCCCTGCAGGAAAAGGAAGAGCCACATGTGCAGCACAGCAGGGCAGACAGCTCAGCAGGCGGAGCTGGAAGCCAAGCAAGCCCTGGTCCCTGTGGAGGAATGCAGCCCGACTGAGCTGCGGAAGGAGGATCCAGTGCCCCAGGATCAGAGATCAGGAGAAGTTGTGGTGCAGTGGAAGGATGGGACCGTCACGTCTCTGTACACAGAGAAGTCTGAAGACACTCTGTAACAGCAGCTTTAGTCCAACCATTCAGGCCCTAAGGAACGTATCAGAATGTCTTGATTCATAGTGATGGGAGTTTAAAACCACAGTTTAGCCTGCAGAAACAAACAAGAATAAAAAGCAGCAGCAGAGCTGCACCCCACAAGTGGCTCTGGACTTGCAAACCTGGGCCTCCCCGGTTCAGGTCCCCGCTGGCTGGTCTTTACCTGCTGCTCTCAGTGCCTCCAGCCTTCTCTACTGCACACTGCCTTCATCCCCTGTTGCACCCAGGCTGGAGCTGAGCCGGGACAAAGGGCCGGAGGTGTGGGAATACACCGTCAGCCAGGGAACACACTGTCCTGTCCCATCAGGAAAACGCCACACGGACACGGAGGCACTTCTGTTCTTTTCAGAAATAATCTTTATTAAAATACTTTCCAAAGTGGTTGATTGAAATCCCATATTGAATGCCTATCAGTAAGGTCATATATATATACATATGCTATATGTACAAATATACATGTGATGTGTTACTCTGCAGAGTAACTGCAGCTCCAGGGAGAAGCGGAACGTTTAACCTGACACAGCAAATGAAGCTGAGCACACAGCCCTTGGTCCTGGCTCGGGCACAGGCAGAGCGTGGTCTGGTTTGGGATTCACTTCGTGCCCTTCACTGGGCACACGTAGAAGCCATGAAATAATTTAAGACATACTTTAAACACATCAGTCTTTTAAACAAAGGCTTTTGGAGCGCGTCCTCTTCAGTGAAGCATCTCTCCTTGCAAAGCCTTGTAAAAGGAACGCCATGGTGTAAAGAGTGGATTAAAACCCAGCTATTTTGGTATGACTTTTTTGATGCATAGGAATTGGTTTTGGGACACCTGAGGCCTTTAGTTGGCTTAAACAGTATCTGCACCTTGGATTAAAATACCCCAAAATTCCTCTTATTGCTTGGTGAGGGCATCCATGAGAGGAGCAAGGTGGGTGCCCCTATGCTTCGTTAATGATTGATTCCTGCTTCTGGGCTCCCATTGCTGTGCTCTGAGCTGGCTGGGGGTCCCTGGGGACAGCCCTCACCATCCCAGTGGTGCCCATAGCTCTGGCTGCTCCGGGAACTGCCTGGATCCACCCGGAAAGCCAGGCTGGTCCCTGGTGCTCTTGGCAGGACAGGATGCACACACTGCGGCAGCGCCCAGCCAGAGGGGTCAGGAGCCAGGGCAGGGGCAGGGCCAGGCAGGGTGATGCCAAGACTGATTTCAGGCTCTCAGCACCCCATCTGCTCACTGGATCACCACCACAGGCTTTGCCCTGCGCACCAGCAGCCCGTCAGTCCATCACGGATAGTCTTGGTCCATCCAGAGCCAGGAGAACAGAGTCTCTCCCCATCCCCTGTGCAGCAGGGACGCCTCCTAAAATATCTTGAACCCCTTCAGCAGGGTGAGCGTGGGAGCCTTCCTCTTGCTCTGCGCCCGCGACGACTTGACAGTGACCAGCTTGGCCTGTGCCACCGAGGGGATCTCCTTGTAGTTGACGGTGGAGAGGGTGTTGAAGGTGCAGCTGGCCAGGCCGTGCCGGGCGGGCAGCGCCACCGGCGTGGCCACGGGCAGGCACGGCCGCTCCTTGGTGATGAAGAGCGGCCGCACGGGCAGGTTCCACTGCGCCTGGCGCCGCACCTCACGCACGGCCTCGTGGAACACGCGCTGCACCCCCGCGAAGTCCTGGCACGCCGACACCTCGTAGTATAGGCACCCGAACCGGCGCGCCAGGGACAGCCCTTCGGCTGCGGGCACCTGCCTGGCGAGAGCGAGGGCATGGCTGCAGCATCCCCAGGGGATGCAACCAGCCGAAAGGGGAGTGAGGGGTGCAGGTGGGGAGCAATGGACCCTGCCTCATGGTGAGCACCAGGCTCAGCTCCTGGGACAAGCAGGGAACATGAGTCCCACATTGTTTTCGCCACGAGGATGATCAGGGACTGGAGCACCTCCTGTATGAAGACAGGCTGAGGAAGTTGGGGCTGTTCAGCCTGGAGAAGAGAAGGCTGCGTGGAGACCTCATAGCAGCCTTCCAGTATCTGAAGGGGGCCTATAGGGATGCTGGAGAGGGACTCTTCATCAGGGACTGTAGTGACAGGACAAGGGGTAACGGGTTAAAACTTAAACAGGGGAAGTTTAGGTTGGATATAAGAAGGAAATTCTTTCCTGTTAGGGTGGTGAGGCACTGGAATGGGTTGCCCAGGGAGGTTGTGAATGCTCCATCCCTGGCAGTGTTCAAGACCAGGTTGGACAGAGCCTTGTTTGATATGGTTTAGTGTGAGGTGTCCCTGCCCATGGCAGGGGGGTTGGAACTACATGATCTTAAGGTCCTTTCCAACCCTAACTATTCTATGGTTCTATGGTTCTATGATTGTTTTGCCTTTCTCAAAGGTCCCTGGGGAATCATGCAACCTCCCACGCCAGGGATGCATGCCAGGGATGCGATGGCACTGGGAAGCAGGGAGGAAACAGCCTGTGCTGTGGGGACAGGGAAGCCTCCATGCTGGGAGCACAGGGTGGGTCAGCAGCGTGCGTGACTCAAGGATCCGTGGGACCAGCATTAAGCACAGCCCCAGAACAGCACAAAAGGCCAGGAAAACACACTGGGGACGTGCAGTGCTGGCAGCAGGACGGGTGAGGAAGGGCTCCAGGGAAAGGGCACATCCAGAGGGGAGCGAGGAGCTGGAGCAGGCTGAAGCCCTGCCTGGGGACGGTGACTCTGCCCAACCACGGAGCCAAAAAATATCCCCCCAAAAATACCAGCAGGCTCAAGATAAATACATCATCCCCCGGGCAGGAGCCTCAGAGGTGTGGGAGGATGGGCATGTACCAGTGGGGGTGGAAATACCCACAATAGAAATCAGATTTGGATATTGCATCCCAGCTGGAGGGATGGGGGGCGAATCTGTGAGCTCTTCCCACCAGGAAAAGACAGCCTTGCCCCATGCCCAGTACCTGTACTCCTCCATGTCCAGCTTGTTGCCCAGCAGGAGCACAGGACAGCGGCTCTGGCAGCCCTTCGCGTGCAGGGCCAGGACCTCCAGGTAGCGCTGGCAGCCCTCGAAGCTCTTCCTGTCATCGATGCTGTACACCACAAGGAAGGCGCTGGCCCAGCACAGGTAGCGCTCGCAATTCCCGGGGCCATCCTGGAGGCAGAGTCATGTCTGAGCCATGGTCCAGCCGCATCCAGCCGGGTCACAGCAGGCACCTGGCACGAGCACTGCCCCGGGGTCTCACCTCGTCAGCCGTGTCCATCACCTTCAGCAGCACAGGCTGCTGGTCCACCAGCTCCTCCGAGGTGTAGGTGTCCTCTGCAAGGAGAAGGGTGGTTGTGAGGATGCACCGGGGTATCCGGTCTGCCCCAAAGCCAAGCAAAGCCCTGGATGCTTGGGACACCAGGGAAAAAATCTCAGCATCTGACACCTCCCACCTTACTCCTTCCTAAGACAGCGTTACTCTGGGGGACTGGTGGTGATGCTGCTGGGAAGCCTGCCTAGGAACAGTTATTTCTCCCTGTACGCTGCAAGTGTGGGCTCCCATGGGATAAGGAGGGAGGGAAGGAGCCTGTCGCAGCCATCACTGCACCCAGGGCTCAGCCCTTATCTAAATGCCAGGACATGGCAAGATAAAGTGAGTCCGGAGCTCGACACTGGGGCTGTTGCCCAATAAATCAGGAAAAAGCAGCTCCCCTTTCCTTTGGAAGGAGCACAGGCAGAGCCCCTGAGCCATTTTCCTGGGAGAAAGATGCCTTCTCCCGGCTGGTCCTAACGGATGCGTTTTGGAAAGGTTTTGACGTGGGAAGATGAAACCACATTCCTAAAACAGGTCCGAGGAGGAAAGGATTTGTCTTTCTTTCCTAAGAGTCACTGACTTAGGAGGAGCTGGAGTCGGTTCCTGGACAAGCTCCATATCTCCCTAATGTCCCAGATAAATCATTCCTGGTTCTTCCCCACGCCCTGGAGTCCGGCCTAGGAAAATAGGGATTAATTTCTGAAACGAGTGGAAAATAAAGCCCAGGACTGCTCATTGCAGAGCGCAGCCCCTGGGGCCACCCACTCTGCAGCCCCCTTGTCCCAGCCCTTCCCGCCTGGCACCCCAGGAGTGAGCAGGAGGCTCCCCAGGGACTGCTGCCGGTCTTAGGGGTGATGGACGTTGTTTGTACAGGTGGGTTTGGGTCACATCCAGCCCTTCTGTTGTTTTTCATGTAACTTTGGGTGCTGCTTTTTTTTTCTCCTTCAATGCCACACTCGTGGGAAACACAGGGAATGGGAAGGATGCTCCATAGGAGCTCATGGAGGGGCAACACCCGTGGAGGAAGCATCTTACCCAGGTTCGGATCATATTCGCTTATGAACCTCTTGGTTAGAAACTTCACGGTCAGAGCTGCAGGAGGTGAAAGAGGCGGGTGAGGCCGGTGTCGTCGTCCCCCACCCCATGGCACCGGCACCCCAACACCACCCTGATGCCCGCCCATCCCCGTGGCCTCGGGGCGCCCGCCTCACCTGACTTGCCCGCCCCGCGGCACCCCAGGATGGCCACGTTGCACTCGCCGAGGGGGCTCTGGGGCGGCCGCTCGCCGCCGGCTCGGGGTTTGCCGAACGCCGAGGACATCCTCAGTCCTATGGGAGAGACATGCGGGGGGGGGGGACGTGGGGCACCCGCTGCCATCCCGGTGGGGACCTTCCAGTGGGGACCGGGGAGGGGGGGATCCCCTCTCCTCCATGCGCATCCTGCAGGCGCAGCGGCCGGCGGCAGCACCCCACCTCCCCCCCAGCAAAGCGAGGGACCCCGCAGCCCTCTGCCCGCCCTTCGCACCCCAGCGAGAGAAGAGAAACGCGGGCTCCCACCTTAAAGCCCTGCTCCGGAGGAGCCGCGGGGCTCTGGGGGGGCCCTGGGGAGCAGCAGCCCCCGTGCGCCCGGAGCGGATGAATGAGGCGGGAGGAGGCGAGCGCGGCTCCCTCGGCTCGGGCTCCAGCCAAGCTCCTTGTAAGGAATGCTCCGCGCCGGCGCCCATGGACGCGCTGCTGCCCGGCACCCGAGGACGGGCCCCCGGGCTCCCGGCACGGACCCCGCTCCCATCGTGGCTCCAGCCAGTGCCCGCCTCACCGCCCGCACGGCCCCACCGCCCTCCTGTGCCCCTCCGCTTCACCGCGTCCCAGCACCTTCCATGTCCCCAGCGAGCCAGAGCCCGGTCCCACCTCCCCGGCTGAGCCCGGTGCACTCACGACACCTCCCGCAGGCAGAGCAGCACACGGGAGCGATGCTGCCCGTGCATCCACCCTGCCCACCGCACGCGTGGCTCCTTGGGTGCACCTCCTGCTGCTGGCAGCGGCGGGGGGAAACCCTTTTTCCACCCAAAAGGTGCAATCCCGAGGGGAAAAGGGGAGCACGGGGAGCACTCACCGCTGCCCGCACCGAGCCATCAGCCAGCACCCAGTGGGCTCCGAGCCTGAGTAGGTGGTGGAGGCTGAAGTCAGCGTTGTCATGGTGATCACAGCCATTTGGGATGGGACTCAGCAGCCGGGATGCAGGATACGGCCCCCACGCCGGCCCCAAGAGGGGCTGTGTCCATGGCCGGGGGGTAAAGGCGGCTCCGTGGCCATGCGGGGCTGCTGCTCCATTGGGATTATTGCCCGTTAATGCAGGCAGGATATTTTTAAACCCTCCCAAAATAGTCTGGGAGCATGGAAGTCCCTGCAAGGCCCGGGATGAGGACCATGGGGATCATTCCCCTGTGGGAAGCAGAGCCCCTCTGGGGAGCCCTAAACTCCCTTTGGACAGGTCAAGGATGCTTAAAGGCAAGCGGAGCTAAATGTGGTACTTTAAGCTGGGTACCATTAAGGATCAGTGATGGTAACACAAGTGCAAAGCTCTCACCTTCTCCCCTAAACTGAGGTATTTGGGGAACCTGCTGGAGCCAGACACGGGGCAAAGGCTTTGATACCACACAGTGCTCCAGGAGCTCCCGGCTGCTGGAATGAGGGGCTGAGCAGGGAGGAAAGAATAAACCTTCAGCAGGGCTGAAATGATGCACTGGCTAGAGGTGGTGATGGGGGGATTGGGGAGCAGCCCCCCGGGTGAGCCCTGCTGCTGGCTCTCCTCAGCATCCCATGGCAGGGGTGGAATTGGGGTTTCCAGCCAGGGAAAGCTGTGAATAGCACATAAATGAGTGATGAGCCACAAATAACACTTCTATTCACTGTCAAGGGCCGTGTGAGTCGCAGGGGTTGGCTCTGCCTGCAGCCGGACTGGGTTTGGTGAGGAGGATTTTGTGTGTTTCATTTTCCTCACCATAAACTCATAGAATCATGGAATGGTTTGGGTTGGAAGGGACCTTAAAGCCCATCCATTTCCAACCCCTGCCATGGGCAGGGACCCCTTCCACTAGAGCAGCTTGCTCCCAGCCCCTGTGTCCAACCTGCCCTTGAACACTGCCAGGGATGGGGCAGCCACAGCTTCTCTGGGCACCCTGTGCCAGCGCCTCAGCACCCTCACAGGGAAGAGCTTCTGCCTAAGAGCTCATCTCAGTGTCCCCTCTGGCAGGTTAAAGCCATTTCCCTTGTCCTGTCCCTACAGGCCCTTGTTCAAAGCCCCTCTCCAGGTTTCCTGCAGCCCCTTTAGGCACTGGAGCTGCTCTAAGGTCCCCCCTTAAGGAGCCTTCTCTTCTCCACGCTGAACAACCCCTACCCATTCCAGATGCCCACATGAAGCACAGGCTGGTTTATGGCTCCTATTTAGAACATCACAAGGAGGATGCCTGAGAGCAGGGAGCTCAAAACCCGGCTCTGCCAGCGCCGCTGGGCATCCTCCATGGGATGAGCCAGGATAGAGCCGGGCATCCCGGCCGTGTCCTGCGCTGTCCGGTGACACCAGAGCCCTGCTGTGTGTGAGAGCGGTGGATGCCAGTGCAAGGCCCCGGTCACGAGCTCAGCTATCTTTAGCTGAAGGTATTTATATTCCAGGGCAGCGGCGTGGCGGCCACCGGGCAGGCAGCAAAGGCATCAAAGGAGGCAGGAGGGGGCTGCGCCAGGCGAGCATCGGGTGTTGCCCCACCACGCCTGGGCGAGGATGACCCCAGAGGAGGAAGGCTCGGAGGCAGGGCCCCCGCAGCACGTGCGGATCCGGGTGGAGGAGCAGTCGTTCTGCGTGGAGAAGGCGCTGCTGGTGGAGAGCAGTGAGTACTTCCGTGCCCTGTTCCGCTCGGGCATGAGGGAGAGCACGCAGGAGGAGATCGGGCTGGGGGAGCTCAGCGCCGCCGGGTTCTTCACCATGCTGCGGGTGCTGGCGGGCGAGAGGCCCGTCCTCGGCAGCGAGGAGACCTTCCAGGCGGTCGAGTGCGCCGCCTTCCTGCAGGTGAAGCCCTTGGCCAAGTTCTTGATCAACTCCATCAACTCCGACAACTGCATCCTGCTCTTCCAAGCCGCTGCCATATTCGGCCTCCTGGACCTATTCCGCTGCGCCGCGCTCTACATCAGGGACAGCTATGCCGAGCTGGAGGAGTACCTGGACTGCCTCCCTGCCGACCTGCTGGCCTATGTGGAATCCCTCCTGCCCAGCACCTTCGTGGCAGTGGGAGCCCATACACCCACCTTCGAGTTCTTAGAGGACCTCTCCAGGACCCTCTGCTACCTGGACGAGGAGACCAACACGTGGAGGACCCTCTCCTGCCTGCCGCTGAGCGCCAGCACGTTCCTAGCCGGCATGGCGACCATGGATAACAAGATCTACATCGTGGGTGGTGTGTACGGGGCCAGCAAGCAGGTGGTGGAGAGCAGCTTCTGCTACGATGCTGACACCAACACATGGAGCGAGTTCCCCAGTCCCCATCAGCTGCGCTACGATGCCAGGCTGGTGGCGCATGAGGGCTTCCTCTATGCCATCGGTGGGGAGTACGAGAAGATCTCACTGAAGTCCGTGGAGAGGTACGACCTGGCCTCCAGCACGTGGACGTTCGTCTCTGACCTGCCGCAGCCCAGCTCAGCAGCGCCCTGTGCCCAAGCCATGGGGCAGATCTTCGTTTGCTTGTGGAAGCCGCTGGACACCACCATCATCTACGAGTACCAGACCCAGCAGGACGTGTGGCTTCCCATCACGGAGCTCAAGCGGCAGCAGAGCTACGGGCACTGCATGGTGGCCCACCGTGACAACCTCTACGTGATGCGCAACGGTCCCTCGGATGACTTCTTGCGCTGTGTCATTGACTGCTTCAACCTGACGTCTCGGCAATGGACCGCGCTGCCCGGGCAGTTCATGAACAACAAAGGAGCCCTGTTCACCGCTGTCATCAAGGGTGACACCATCTACACCGTCAACAAGATGCTGACGCTCCTCTACTCCGTGGAAGAGGGGACCTGGAAGTTCAAGAAGGAGCGGGCAGGTTTCCCACGCAGCGGCTCCCTGCAGACCTTCCTCCTGCGGCTGCCGAGGCGTGACCACAAGATCGCAACGTAGGTGAGCCCCCATCCCACGTCGGGATGCTCTCCTTGCACGTGGCCCTGCCTCGGCTCCCACTGCTCCCCCCTCCCCAGGGCTCCTCTCCTCCTCTGGGGAGTCGTGCTCAGGTCCGGGGATGCTTCATGATGGACCTCAGAGGTGAAGCTAGACTCTATCAGAGGGAAAGGGGCTGCAGGCAGCTGCTGCCTGCCCTGCATGGGCTGTGTATGAAGTCCTACCAGACGTAGGCTCATGAGGCAACCACGTGCAGGGCTTCATGGCTTCTGCAGAGGATGGATACCACAGAGATGCAGACACGGGGTTTATTTATTCTGACCGCATCCTGAGGGTGAGCAGCATCCCACCTCCTCTGCTCCCGTGGGAAATCATCCATTCTACCCTGGAATTAAAAGGAAGGCTATTAAAAGACCCCTGTGCTTGCCGTTACTGCTGGGTTTGGGGTTTTTCTGCCCCCCTTTCTGAAGGAAACCCTTCCTCACGGGACCCACGTCAGGGCCCGCTCCTGCCCACTGAGTGCTTTTTCAGCTGTTTCAGAGCCGTACGTGGGAGCGCGGTTCCCACGCAGCCCCTGCTCCCTGGGGAGATCTCCACGGCTGCTCCCGGGCACTTGGGGCCCTGGGAGGAGGAGGAGGAGGAGAGGGGGAAGGGAAGGAAAGGATTTCCTGGGCACCGGTGCTTAATGCACAGAGGGGTTTGGGGGGGACCCAAAGTCCATTACCCACCCCTCGGCTCTTCCAGGCGCCTCAGGAACCCCAACACAGACACAACGGGGTGGCTGGGGCAAGTGCTGGTGCTTGTTTTGAACCCGGACACAGGAAACCCTGGAAATGCAGAGGATGCTAAAAGGGAAGGAGAGGAGAGCAGCAGCATTGCATAGCGATGCCAGAGGTCCCATGAGGTACCACTGCCCAGTGCTGATGTCCTCAGCACCAGCTCTGGGGATGGCTGGAAGACACAGACCCCCCCCTTCTGCAACCACAGCACTGCTGAAAGACCCATGGGGACCATGGCTCAGCTGGTTTCCCATCCACAAGGCAGGCTTTGGGCTGCCTGTGCCATCCCGGCAGAGACGGAGCGGCTGGGAATAGCAGCTGGGATGCCTCAATGCCTCTGCTCTGACCCTTGCTGAGTTCTCAGCACTTTCAAAGCAGTTCCCTCAGTTGAGGACAAACCCCACAAAACACAACCACAAACCAAACCAAACAGGAAAACCTCAGCTCGTGCCCACGTGCAGGCTGAAACCCCTTGATGCACCTTGTCCCCGTTTGCCCTCTGCCACTGGGCCAGGCCAACACTGCTCCAGCAGTACTAAGTGATGAGATCAACCTCCCATCTCCACACTGTTTGTTGTGACAGGGCAGGGGTTTACAAAGGTATTTGCCAACAAAAGGCTGTAAGTGCAGACCTGCAGAAAGAGCAGGTCTTGGCAGGCACTGTTGAGTATGGCATGGATGCTCCCATGAGTTGCTGGATCCATCAACCCAAACCATGGCATAGAAAGCAGCACAATGTAGTTCTAGGGAGCAGAAAGATACGGTCCTTACCTCTGCAAGCAGGGGATAAAAAGGACGAGCCAGGACCAAGCAAATCCCTAACGAAAGCTGCTCAGCCACTGCACAGTGAGTGGGCACAACTGCAAACGTGCCTCATGTTGCTGGAATTTAGCCCTCAACATCACACATTACTGGCACCACCACGGCACCATTATCTTCCCCTTTCAGTCTGCATGGTGTTTACTCCACCAAAGATCTCAGTTTGAGGCAAAGTGATGTCTTTAATCACAGTTTAACCTTTTGCAAGCTCCTCTTTTAAGGTGACACCATCTTGGCAAGGATGAACAGAAGGAAAAGCTGCCTTAGAATGGACTTGCCTTATAAAGGCCATATCAAAAATAAAAGCTTGTATAACCCAGGGAAATCTGGAGGAAAAACAGGGCTGGGAGCTCCAAGAAGAGGCTGGGAACTCCCCACGAGCATCTCCTTTGGTCATACAAGGTGCCACATTTTCCTTTTCAATGCCATGAAAGGAGAGCAGGTATAAAGCATCCCTGGGTATGGAGGGGGCTCGGTATGCATCCAGGCTCGGATGAAGGCAGCCCTGGAGGCCTGTGCCCTCCTGCTGGTGTTTGCACCTACCTTGAGACACAGGGAGAAGGAACACGGTGTTTCAGCTCGAGGGCTGGGAGGTTGCTTGGAAGGATACAATGGAAAAATGGCACTAATGCAACTACTTCAGGGTTTCCCCTGCTCGGCTGTGCCAGCTGACATTTCCATAGGAGACACAAGAACCCCTCCAACCATCTTTACTCGAAGCAATTACATCTGTATCTAATTCACAGGAAAACAATATACCTTAATGTAAAAACACTGCCCACTGTTCCAGTGCCAAGCCAAGAGACTCATGAGGTGACCTGAATCTCCCGTTTTCCATTCTTCAGCTGCATACAAGAATTCCCCTGGGCATCCAGATTTCCTGATCCTGACATTTGTGTTTAACCTCATTTGGAGCCGCTGTTTAGGCAAGCATCCCCTCAATCTTCCTGATTCCTGCAGAGCACGAGGGCAGCCGAGCCGTTCCCAGTCTCTCTGTTCCGACTTTATGGAATTCCCTGAGCACAAACCCTTGTCTAAGCCATTTCTCATCACACTGGATAAACTTCCTGTATTTCTAGAGCAAAGGCAGCCTGGTTTCTTTCTGTATACTCATTGAATTGTGTCTTTTTCTCAAGTTCTTGGTTTAAAAGAGAAGCTGATGTGATCAGACTGGGTATCAATTACAATATCAAACCACAGCTAAGTTGGATGAGACTCTTGCCAAGCCAGGACCAATAAATGCTTCTTCAGGAGCCCTGTTTTCATGAGAGCTGCATCTTCTGTTGATTTACAGAACCTTTCAAGCATCCACACTGAACTGCAGTTGAAAACACGACACCCATCACCCCCGGTGGAGGAAGAAAACTGAGCTTTGGGTTTTGCAAAACCTAAGCCGAAGGCAGTTTGGATCTTATCGCATCTAATCTGAAGAGCTGAGATGATCAAGGGGGAAGATGTGTGGGTGAAGAGAGAAACACTCCTGTTAGAAAGCCTTTGCTTTAGTGCAGTGCCACACATGCTTATGGTGGACGTCCATAAACCGGGACTGGACACCAGCCAGTGCTCTGGAGGTCTGTGCCCATGAGCCACGGTGCTGGGGTGGGCATGGAGCAGCAGAAGGGTAAACGTGTGCTGACCCACCCGAGTCCTTATGTGGTCCAGACTGAGGGGGAGCTGTGGCTGGGATCCAGGGTGCAGGTCACTGGGCTTTCATCACGAGCTCTTCCAACGCCTTCTCCTTCTGATTGCCACAAAGCAGAAGAACTTCTTTGATTTCATTTTGCTGGAAACCCATATCATTGAACTGAGATAACAGGCGCAAGAATTCAGCTGCCTGGAGGAAGGAGGAAGAGAAAGGAGAGATGCTATCATGGGGTTTAAGGCTGGATTTACCACAGTTACAGCTGAAACAGGGCTGGGTAACGAGGCTGCAGCCATGCGACCTGGCTGGGTTGTATTACCAGTGAAGGGCACACTGAGAGCAGGCTGAGGGCACACATACCACTGCTAGCATTTAAAAATGTGCCTTTGCATCAGCTTTTGAAATCAGAAATAGTTACTGAAGTGAGGCTCTGGCTTCGCTTATTCCTTGCAAAGTTTCATAGAAATTCCATGCAAGTGTTTGTCTGTGCTATAGAGACTGGGTAAAGGCAGGGAGCACAACCTGGAATCCATTTTTCCTGCTCCCCCACTGCTCAAGCTGGGCCCCAGCACCACGACATCACCCAGAGCCGTGTCCTCAATAAATAACCCCCTGCCTGACACCGAGCCCCAGGCGCCCTAGAGAGCAGTGATTGCGATCCTACGTGCATCAGCATCCTGTCAGTCACCACCAGCCCATGTTTCAAGCAGTTCTACCCCTCTTGGCCCTTCATTACCCGCAGGGGGAGACTGATCATGAAGACAACCCCTGGTGTGCTACCATGGTGGTTCTCTTTGGGGGGCGAATGCAAAAGGGGAGCAGGGAGGGAACAAGCGTGGGTGCTGGTGGGCTCAGAGTGAGGGATTCTTTGCTTGGGGGTTGAGTGAGCATCATGCTTGCACAGTGGGGCGAGAGGAGGGATGGAAAAGAGCAATGAAGTGAGTGTCCTGTGTCCTTCCCTGGGGATTCCTTGTGGTGATGCTGCACTGGGGGTCTGCTGTGGGTGCAGGGCAATGGGTCTGACCTGCCCAGAGGCTGTGTGAGGGACAGTGGAGGTGGAGAGGAGCTTGCAGCCCGCTGGGAAAGCGAGCCCGGAGCACACAGCACAAAGGAATGGGCTGGGCTGGGCTGCCCCGCGCTGACCTTTTTTTCTGAGTACTGGAACATTTCCATGGCCTCCTCCACCTGCCCTTCCTCGTAGCCCTGCTTCAGCAGCCGGTCACAGGCACTCAGGTAGCTCAGGAGCTGCAGAAGAAGACAACCAGGGTTAATCCAACCTTGCGGACGCAGGGAGCGACTGCATTCAGGAGCCCACCTTGTAACCTCCCAGGGGCACACGCATGGGGAGGACCTGGGCCACCACCATCCTGCCTGTGTGGCCCTGTCAGCAGGACTCCCACTGGGAGAAGACATCTCAGTCCATCCCCTCTCCCAAGGTGGAACAGGAGGGAGGATGAGGAGCAAACCAAACACCTGACCCATCTGAGGTACGAAGCGATGGCCTGAGGCTGCAGGGTGAAGCAGAACCTGTCCCTGTGAGATGCCTACCCTCAGCCAACCCAGCATCCCTTTGATGCACCACAGTTCAGGCAGCCGAGGGGTTCACTCCAGGGTCCAAGCACAAAACCCACCCCAGGGGAGACCCATGTGTGTCATTACTGAAAGTAAACAGTTATTTTTGGCTTTCCTCGTTGTTCTTGGAGTGCTGACAGCACTATTCCCAGCAGTATCTTTTAAATACCACGAAAATCATTCACTGTCCAAAACCGTATGGAACAGACAATAATAAACGAGCTATATGATAGCAGGGGGAATAAAAACATCCCTGGGGTCTCCCTGAAGCCGTGCTGTCTTCAAGCAAGGAGAAGCTGATTCATGTCTCCCCAGATCCACCAGCACAGACCTCACCCTCCCCAGCACTGCATAGCCAAGGAGAAAGATTCAGTAGAAGATCATAGAACATATGAAAAAGCCAAAAAGTCCCTCAGATGCTGAGTGGATCTGGTTTGGCTGAATAGCAGAGCCAGGAGTTTAAGAAATGTCAGCCTTAAGGAGCAGCTTTTTAAGTCAAAATCGAGATCCTCCCTCCCTGTGGCATGCCTAACCTGGTTCTGCTTTCCTTGTTACCCTACTAACTACAGATCCAGACCACTGCTGCATTGTATTGCCCTA